GCCAACGGCGTCGGGGTTAATGGGGTACGGCGACTAGGGCGATGGATTGGCGACGGTTTTGGGTTTGGGGTAGAATCCTCTGTTTGGTATGCTTAGGCGAAAATTTTAAAAAATTAAATGAAGGATATTTTAGTAATTTTAATAAATTAGGGCGACGAATAAGGTATTTTAGGGCGACGAATAGCAATAGGCAAAATACACTTCCATAGCCATAACTTTACACATTGTGACAAATATAACCAGATTTTGAAAAATACACAGAAATAGCCATTCCGTCTATTAATTTAACGGAACGCTAACAACAGCTGACTAGACAAACATTCGTTGGTCTACGTGGCATGACAAGTTGTAATTTAAATTTAATTATATTTATTAAATAAAAAACATTAACCAAAAAAAAAACTCTCGCCTCTTACCATCATTTCCCCCGATCCCTATTTCCTAATATCCTTCCCCTGCATCCAAGATCTCTCTTCTTCTCCTTTACCTCTATGTCTACCATGGTTGTCACGCCGGCCGGCGTGCCACCGGTTGTACCTGGTTCAACCGATACCAGTCATAAAACCGGCGTGACACCACCGGTATGACCGGCATGATCGATATACGAATCTCTAAGTAAAATGACTTTATTTTAGTGAATTTAATTGATAAAAATTATTTAATTGTTTATTTTATGAGTATAAAAGTTAAATTTTGATGTTATTTGTTGGATTCAAGTATAAATGTTTAGGTATTGACTTAAATGTCATGTTTAAATATGAGTATTTACAATTTTATTTGTAATATTGACCGCCATGAACCGGCACAAACCGGTATGTGCCACCGGTTGAACCATTCCACTTGCTAAACCGGCACACTGGCATAAACCGGTTTGACAACCTTGATGTCTACCCTTCCGCTCCCATGAAACCCACCACCCCTCTACTTTTTCTTTCTATTTGTCTTGTCTAAAAGCAACAAGGGATACGAGGCTAGATCCACCCAATACCTTTCCCCTCGCCTCTTTGATGAGATTGGGATTGGGATTGTTCGATTGTGGGTTCTGGATTAGAGCATACGCCGTTGCCTGCTGAGGTGTTGTTTTGGGATTTTGTAATTGGTGTTGACGGGAGGTAGAGGCTAAAGATGGACGCGACGAATCTGGCGGGTGGGAAACAGATATGGAGATTTGGGTCGACGACTCCGACGAGCTGGGTCTTCGACTCCGACAAAGCCCCACATGCTATCCTCCGCCACTGTGGTGGTTTTGTGAGAACTTGAAATGGCTAAGACCCCTAACCCAAAACCTCCTTCTCTCTTCCAATCGAAACGGCGACGAACCCTTTCATCTCTGCCGCATGAGAGGAAGACGATGATGATGGCGACGACGACTTGATTAAGTCGAAGTCGTCGCTGGTGAAGCAATCTTCATATCTAAGGGAGGACGGGGCGGCAGCGACGGCGGGGAAAGCCATCAACTCCGGATCCGGCGGGTGACAAAACCAGAGCTGGTGAATCGATTGTAAAGGGATTTTTTACTAACAAACCCTAATATGTGAAGCTCTAATGTGGTTAGCGATTTTGTAAATTAAAAGGGCTTGCTCGCGAGAGTAGGGATTGACACTGGCGAACAGTGCTAGGGGGATAGAAGCTTGCAGGAGGAAGATGAAGATGAAAAGGATGTGTGTATTGAGTTTGTGGTGTCTTCAGATCTCTCTCGAACCCACGAAAGTTTTTTTTATTTTTTTACAGAACGAACCCAGGAAAGATGAAGAAGAAAAATATGTTATGTTGGCATTTTTTGGAAATAATATTTTTAAATTAATAATATAATTTAATTTGACATGGCGCACACGTGGCTACTGGGAAGTGACGTGGAAGCTGAGGAGGCGCCACCTAAGCTTGTTGTTCACAGGTGTTAACGGCATCTCTAACACCGTTAAAATTTCTAACGAAAATGGCTAAATTTGTCAAATATGTTTCAAAATTTGGCTATTTCTGTGCATTTTTCAAAATTTGGCTATACTTGTCACAAAGTGTAAAGTTATGGCTATGGAAGTGTATTTTGCCTTAAACAAAAATTCTTATGGCGTGAAACAATTATTCCGGAACACACGAGAAAATATGATGATGAGATATATATTTTCGTGATACAAATGAATACAGAGACCAGAGAGGAGCCCTTCTAGTGTGCTCTATAGCATCCATGCTATAAAAAACTAAAAAAAAAAGGTGACTTGTTGAGGAGGTAAATCCACTAAATGACTGGTCCCACATCATTAATGGCAATCTTGTAAATAATGAATCAATGTATACAAGTGTAGGTACAAATTAGAATTGTACCATATCGTATAGGTACAAGTTTCAGCTGTACCATTGAAGAATTTGTTTCACAAAGTGTAGGTACAACTCAAAATTGTACATAGCGTGTAGGTATAATTTTAGGTTGTACCATAGAGTTTTTTTGTAAAAGTGTAGGTACAACATAAAGTTATTGATAGATCGATAATTATACATAGGGGTGGCTATACGGTCCGGTCCGGTTAAATTGGCCCAAATTGATCCGGTCCAGTCCGGTCTTTTTGAAAATATAAGGACCGAAGATTGGATTGGATACAGTCCGGTCTTGATCCGGTCCGGTTTTGATCCGGTCCGGTCCCGATTCAGTCTTGATTTTACATTGAGATTGTGGGATTTGAGTGGCCTAAAGCCTTAAAGGGTGAGCAGTTGGTTAAGTTTTGTACTAAGTGCAAAGGTTTCTGACCGTTTATGCAAATTACCCTTAAGTTTTGGGTGTTGAGCTTTCTTATCCGGTCTTTATCCGGTTTTTTACCTCAAATCTAAGCCCAAAGATTGGATTGGATTGTTTACTATCCGGTCCCGGTCCGGTCTCGGTCCGGTTTCCGGTTTTTAATCCGGTCCCGGTCCAAATAGCCACCCCTAATTATACATGTTTACACCCCTATTTTGAAGCCGTTTGTGATGAGGAATCTCGTGTTTTAAGCCGATTTCACGCTAGGTTGTGTGTTTATGTCATATTTCAGGTCCTGGCGTTGGAATCGAGGCGAAGGAACGAGTTCCGGGTCGAAAGGAGCGAAGATGGGATAAAGGATGCTGCTGGACCAAAATACCCGGTCAAAGGAAGAAATACCCGGCCGGGTATATTATGGACCCGACCGGGTATTTTTCCCTTCGGGCACCCGTGAGAAACAGAAGGGGGCCCGGGCGATGGCCTTAAATCCCCGGTCGGGGATTTTGATGTTGGACCGGGGATTTTTCCCCTTATTGGAACGGTGCGTTTTAGAAATACCCGGTCGAACCCAAAAATACCCGACCGGGTATCGCGAGGGCAGCTGATAAAAGAGACAGAAGGCCAATTTTCAAAGGGTTCCGAGTTTTTGAGAGAGAAATCGATTCCTAGAGAGAGAAAGCGACGAACCAGAGTTCCCAAGCGCCATAGATCGATCTTCAACACCATTGGAGCCCGTCTTGAGCTTGGAGAAGTGCGATTAAACGTCCAGGAGCAGAAATCCAACTTCACAGTATGATTTCCGCGTCTGAATCTGCTTTTGCTTCTTTCTCTATGGAGTAGTTTCCCCATTCATCTGGGTATGGGGAACCCTAGATTTGTATGCTAGGTCTGATTGTATGAACCCAAGTACAGAGTTTGTGAATTGATTATATTCGATTGAGGTTTGAATGATTGAATGACTTGAATCCTGATCAAATTCCTGTTGTTTCTGCTTTGACCTGGAATGGGAATATCTGCCTAGGTTGATAGAGTACCCTTAATCGAAGGTGGCGAATTGGTGACTTTAGTCGAGGAGCCAATTCGCTATTCTGTACCGAAGTTAATTCGGTAGTGGAGGTTTGGTTCATTAGGGCCTCAATCTGTTTACTCCGGTGGAGGTTAGTCGCCCGCTAGAGACTCAGATTGAGAGGGTCTGGAGACCTTTAGTCGAGACTTCAGGCTAATTAAGAACCTTCCGCAGTATAACTTTCATAAAAACTGAACTTGGTAAATTGCAATCCGACTTAACTGCAGTCTAGGGGGAACCATATCTGGGTGACCTCTCTTGACTTGACAACAAACCGTTTACTTGCTTTGTGTTTTGTTTGCTTGAGTTGCACTAAAAGTTCACCGCTAAATAACAAGAATTCACCGAGTAGTCATCACATCTAGGACCCGGGTTGACAATAAAACCCAAACCCGCTATACTACGCTTTAGGAAGTGGTTGCACTTGGCCATTTTCTAGAGTGACAGTAACAACGAGTCAAGTTTTTGGCGCCGTTGCCGGGGACGGCTAGGTTGTTGAAGAAAAGTGATTTCTGTTACTTTAACATTTTCATTTTTGCATTGAGTTTTTGTTCTTCCCACTTGTGCCTTCACGGGTTTGCATTTCTTGATTGTGTGCAGCTAGTGCATGACCCGTAGTCAGTCGGGAGGTTTACTGCCGTTGAATCCTGAGATTGAGCGCACCTGCAAACAACTTCGGAGACAACAACGAGCTAGACTGGCTACGGTGGAGCGCCGAGACGGCCAATTGACCAGCGACTCCGAGGACGAGCACGAGATGGAAGGCGATCAGAACCCACCTCCTCAGAACCAGATCCTGGGGAACGACCAACACCCCCAGGGAGCTGGGCACCATCATCATCGGAATATGATACATAATAAGCCACCCTAATATATAGAATATGAGATTTTGCCTCCATGAACTTAAACTAGTTGTATAGTATTTAAATTAGTAATAATCCAAAAAAGTTAAAATTAACTGAAAACAAATATTGACCATCACATTAAATTCATAAAAATTGAAATTAACTTGAAGCAATTTTTTTTCCATGTTGCTCGCTAAATCCTAGTCATTCTCACGGGCTTGTAGTTGAAAATCTCACACCCGTGAAATGTGGCTATTTCATAACATAGATTGTTTACAAATTGAAACATGTCATGACTTAAGTAGGAACAGAGCTAGCATTACATCATATCAAATACCCTGTAAACAAAAGTAAAAAGCAGCCAAAGCATTACATCTGTCTAATTCACAACCATCCATACACGATTAAATCTGTCTAATTAATGTTGTAGTCCACACCGGTACATCATCATACACAAGCAAAAGCACAAACTCAAACACACATAACTAAGTACTAAAGACTAAATAGTTCAACAAGATTTTTTGGTTGGCTCATCTTCACTGCCCCTCTTCCTCGTTAGTGCCCTTGTCCTCTTCATTGCGTTTTTTGGTTGGCAAGTGAGCCTATGAAGCCAGCTTCACCAGTCACAAGGCCATGAGTAACTCCTTGTTCAAACAATGAGGACTGGCAGAAAAAGAAATAAGGAAATGACCGAAATGACAAAAAACAATATAAAATTAGGCAATAAACTATGGCCGAAATGACAAATAAACAGAGACAACAAACAACAATAATGTGTTTCCTCTTCTCATCCTACTCTTTTGCTCCAACCAAAAATCAAATCTCATATCAATGCAAGTCAAAGCGCTAGAGATGATAAACTTAAATCCAATCTCACAACATACTATCCATATTTCAAGTTTCGCGTTAGTTTTAACTCTTAAGAAAGTAGGCAGATCCTCTAAGATAACCACATTGGTGAAACATACTAACTTAAGCTACAGAGACTATCAAAGCAGGACACCATCAATGGAAATCCAAAATACTGTTGTGGGGATGAATAACAACTCTGGTGTTGTAACTTGAATCAAAATCAATAGCTAACTCAATCAGAAGACCAATAGAAACCCCCCTGAAGCACTTGAGCTGCCATCAAAAGGGAACCCTCTTTTGCTGATCAATAAACAAAAATTATAGGGTTAACAAAAACTCACAGATATTAGTTTATGAGATTTAGGCTGTGATGAGACATGTTGCCTAGATCTGACGAGTTCTTGCTCTAACTGAACCAACTTCAAACGCTTTGTTTCTAGTTGCTGCAAATATGCCTAAGGAACAACCACAACCAAAACCCTTGGCATAGCTCCCTTTTTAAGTAGTGGACCTTATACCATGTAACAACCAAATAACTATTAACAAATGCAAATAAGATTTGACAGAATTCAACAAAAGAAGAGCGTGTTAAGGGAACTCTTTGTTTATAATTATGCAAATCCTCTGGCAGCAAATGTATAAAAAAGCCAATCCTAAAACTCATTTCCATTTTAGAGGCATAATTCATGTCGATTGAACTAGCATTACCAATTCCATCAAGGGACTTCAGAATCCAGAGTAGTAATGTTGCAGCACCCAAAACAATCTTGTATACTTCTGAACCTTCAGAAGAAAAACAAAACAAGTCTAATTACGTTGGTCTTAAGAAGATCATAATAACGTTGGTCTATGTAGATACCTTCAGAAACTAAACTGTGAAACTATAACCTGTAAACCCTTCATAAACTAAAGAAGTTAAAGAGATAATAAAAACAAATATTTAAAAGCTACTCGTTAGACAACAACATAAAACTCTTCAAAAAGAAAAGTACCAAAGATATAAGAGAACAGAAAGTACAATTTCATTAGTTCCCCTAGAAGTCACTCAAACTACAATTTTGACACATGAAACTAAATAAGAGAACAAACAAATTACGCATGCTTACCAAAATTCCAAGGTGAGTGACCAAGTGAGTGGGCTGATGGTAAGCTATTTACCAAAATTCCAAGGTCGATGTCTTTGTGTTGGAACTTTTCAATTAAAGGGTGGTTCTGGGGGAGAAGAAAAAAGGTCAAACGATAAGCTGTTGTTCGGAGCAATGAAACTTGAAACAAATGAAGTTGTAACACTCACCAAGAGGTCCAATGACGACGATCTGTCTCGAAGGTTCTTTTGTATGCTGTAGAAATCACAGGCAATAGTGAGTAACAATCCAAACTAGCTAGTAGTAAAAGTTTGAAATGACCAGGTATTACTTGTCCTTTTACTTTTCTCAACTTTGTAAGGGAGTAGGGAATCCATAGAATAAAGGAAACTGTGGCTTGGGTTGGGTTCTTGAGGCGTGGAGTTATGGATATCCTTATCACGCTGATAAGAATGGACATAATTCAGGAGAGAATGATATCAATTGATGGATGTCCCCTGCTCATAAATTGCTTTATCCCTGAATCTTTTCACAAACTATTACCTTCCAGGAAGCTAGAAGCCTTCGAATATAATTGACCGGGGGATGAAGGTAAGGTTCTCTCTTGCGTCCGGGCATTCCACAAGACATTGAGAGAACCTCTGTTCCCCCAATAGAATAAACAATCAGTGGAGTCCCAATGCTCAAAGAATCGAAGGAGGAAGAAGAGAAATAAAAAAGTATTGTCTATTTTGCCAGAAGAACCCTAGAAATCCTAGTAGCACAGACCAAAGTGTGAATTTCAATCCCAGCAGCACAAAACAAAAGTATAAACATAAAGAAGCATGAAATTTCAATCCCAAATCCCCGGCTTCACAGAAACATGTTCATAAACCTAAAACGAGCATAGAATTTCAAATCCCCTACCTAAATTTGTAAATCTAGAACCTCCCCAATTTTCCAAACTTTGAAATCCTAGAATTCAAATTTCGAATAAAATTGTAGAACCATAGGCATACTAACCGGAAAATGCAAGAAGAAGACTCGGTGTGTGTTGTAGGAGGAATGGAGAGACCCGGTTTGTGATGCTGCGGTGGAGGAGGTAATGGCGGAGACGAGATGCTGCGATCCCCTTTTCCGCGAAACACAATCGATAAAGAGACGCTGCAATCGACGAGCTTCTTCTTCTCTTCGTCGCCCCTGCTCGCCGCCTTCACTGTCGTCGTCGAAATCCGGCTCGTCGCAGTCGAAGAGATGCTGCAATCAACGAGCTTCTTCTTCTCGTCGTCACCCCTGCTCGCCGTATTCACCGTATTTGTCAGAATCCGGCTCGCCGCAGTTGAAGAGAATTGGTACGGTAGCCGCAAGCGAAGAGAATTGGAATGAAGAATAGGAACGGAGAATAGGAACAGAGAAGCTCAACCCTTTCCCTATTTCGATTTGATTTTTTTAATATTATCAAACTTGTCAACCGGTGCAACAAGTAATCAATACCAAAATAAATAAAAAATTAATTAATTCAATAAGATCCAATGGTTCACAATATTTAATAAAATCCAATGGCTATAAACGAATTAAAGCATCAATGCTATAAAGCATACTAAAATGCCTCGACCAGAGAGGTATATAAGCTTTGATGTTTTTTGTGTATCTTCTCTTCTTCTCTAGCCTTGCTTTTATAAGCAATGAGCAAGTCATTCTCATCAATGTTGTTAGGAGGAGGTTAGAAAGATGATGATTATGTGTAGGGTGGACATCCATTCAATGTATATATTATAACACTCCCCTTAAATGTCCATAATTTGTAGTACGTGTTTGTATATTGTCTCATTAAAAACCTTATCGGGAAAAATTCCGTGGAAAAAATCACAGTTAGGGTACGTATGTACTCCCCCTCATTGTGACATCATTGAAGATGTTTGAATAGTCGAATTCCAATCTTGTGAACTACCTTCTCAAATCCTGAAGTAGGAAGAGACTTTGTGAATAAATCTGCCAGATTATCACATTAACGAATCTGAAGTACTTTTATTTCACCATTTTTTTGAAGGTCATGAGTGAAGAAATTTTTTGACAAAATATTTTCCTTCAATTGTGCGATACATGTTGCATTATCCTTCCTTCATATGTGTCAATACTTGACTTCTTCTATTTCATAATTTGTTGATTTGAATGAATGTTTAGTCGACACTTCACTCCTATGAGGTGCAAGGATCGAAATCCAAGTCACTTTAGAATTAAGACTAGAAATGGTGGTCCTATTTGATTGATCTTCATTCGAGTGAATGGCATGACACCTCGAGGGGAAAATTTGTAGGGTCCTTGTCGTGCATTAGTTCAGATAAATGCTTCTACACAAGGTGGGATCTAATAGAATACAAAATCGATGGCTCGTATGTTGCCAGATATTGATGGATACGTAACTAGGAGACCTAGGGGGAGCTTGCCTACACAACGCCTTCCTTCTCTGCTCTCTCATCCATCCAACTTAGCTATAGGTTTACCTTTCTGCACGTTCTCTTTCTTTTCATTTTAGTTTTGCAAACGGGAGGCACATCCGTCTCTTACATTGTTTTCAACTCAAATATAATCGTACTTTACCACTAAAGTAAGGGTTTTCTGAGAGATCTACGAAAATACGGTCCTGGTCTCAGGTCGTATAAATTTAGTCTGTGCTACAATCTACGACAATCAAAATTTGGCCCATTGCCAGGGACATCTCGCAAACTTCGCAAAAGGGACTAGGTATGAGTTCTATTTCTTCTTCAGATTCTATTGCTAATTTTTTCATGTCAAGTCTAGTTTTCTAATTCTAGTCGTGTCGAGTAAGTCTCTGTAGGGAATCAAAATCAGTGGCCCAAGCGCCTGAATTGCTATGATTTTGGCGTCCATGGCACCTTTTTTTAGGAGTAGCCTCTTTCTGAATAGCGATTGCATCTCGCCCTACCTTGCAACTGTCCATATTCTCCCATAGTTCCACCCCCCTCAAATACTGAGATTCTAGGAGCATACAAACCTAGAATCATGGACATTTGGGCTGTTTTCAAGTTTGACATACCTAGAGCACACCTTAATTCATTCAAGGTGGCCAACCTTACTACTAAATATGGAATAGAGGAATCTCTCATTCACGAACTCTAGTACATGAAACCCTTCTTTTATTTCCCTCATGAGATTCCATTAAACCATCTCCATAAGGTTCAACCCCTATTAGGATCAGATCATCAGAATAGTGTTTCAAAGCGGCACCCGAATATATGGGGTTATAGGGCTATTTCACTATACTCTAAAAGGGGCACCAAGAAATGGTTCAACAACTTGCCTCACGAATTTGCCCTTATTTGGGAGGAGCTAGTTCAAACATTTCTCGATAAATACGCTCGGCCGTGGAACAAATATTTGCTAGCACAACAAATTCTAAACTTCAGGCAAGGAGATTTGGAGCCTCTCTAGAAGCATGATACCGATACATGGGGTAATATCGATGACTACCCCATGAGTCAAAAAAGTTCTTGCACTTCATTGTTTTGTGGCAATATCTGGGAGGTTCCTAGGAATCAAACATTGGGGAGATTCTCATATTCCATCGAGCTATCTCGAAGAGGAGCGTACTCGCATCTCAGGGCAAGAGCTATCCTTCTTAAGGGCAGTCAAACTAGTGGGCAGAAAGCGATCCTCGCAAATAGGATCGTTGATTACCCTGAACATATGAACACACCAATGCCCATCTATGGTAAGGTGCCAGTAGTCTAATCACCATTAGTAGAGACTATCAACTCAATCTCCTCCGTCGTGACAAAAACTTAAAATGAAGAGCAAACCATAGAGGAGATGGAACACTGGCTTGCTCTCATATAGGCACGTATGGCAGAGTTAGAAGTCAAGTTGATCAATTTTGACAATGCTCACCTATTGAAATCAGGTTGAAAAAGATCGTATCCGAGGTTCATCCCATCGGGGAAGAGGTTAAGGAGGAAAGATGGAAAGAAATAGACAGTTTTTGCGTTAATACTTGATCTATGGAGGCTAGTGTAGGGGCTATAAAGGATGTTATTGTCATGGGACTTGAATCCATCTTAAGAACGTAAGGATTGGTGCTTCATACCATCATTTTTGAGTTCTCAAACTCCTCCCCAAAGAAATGAGTCTTCTACACTTAAAGCTAAAATGGGGTCGATATGTATCTTCATACATTCGAAATCCTACCATGCCAAGTCTAAATCAAAAGACGATGTTGCCACCAATAAAGTGTGGGGTAAAAGCCATGTTTGAGGCATCCTATCCTTGGAAAAATGGGTTTTGAAAGAGATACTAGTTAAGTCTTGGTAGGGTAGTCCTACAAGATGATGTTATTTCCTCTCTAGTACAAATAAAATTTCCACCCGTATGATAGGATTGCCAACTTGAGAATGTGTTTTCAAGGGAATGGATAAAGCTCCAAGACCCCCATGACTTCATTGACCCTCCACACAATCGAGAAAAAGGAGCTAAAAAACTAATCATGCTTGATCAAGGCTTGCTGAGTACCAAAGTACAAAGTAGAATAAACCCCCTTCTATGCATAAAAGGGTATGATGTATGCAAAGCGGCGTTGCATGCATGATCGCCTTCATGTGAAAAATTTCAAAATATTTATGTGGCTAGGGATACAAATACTTCATAATCAAGCTACATAAGCTTCCCTAATCCTCATATATGAAGACTCGAATAAGAGAAAGAGAACTCCATCTATTGAGAGGAAAATCATTTCGTCCTTACGTGGTACATTTCGAGCATCATTGCAAGGATCAAAAGTTTCTTAGTGCAAGAGTTGACCTGCAAGCTTCTTATGATCCAATACCTAAGATCGGAAGTCACGTGTCATCGTAGAGGTCTAGTGAGTTGAAGGATGTAGTGTTCAGGTGTGCTTGGGGACAAACAAAGTTCAAGTGTGGGGTTATTTGATGACACGCAGAATTGACTATTCTATACCTCCGTATTATGATCCAAAGTGCATTCATTTTATATCATTATTATTATCACAATACCTTGAATGCGTGTTATGATGGCTTCAAGTGTGTTTTAGCAACCCTATGATTTCTAGGGTTTGATGCACTTTTGGTAACGCTTTATGCATTTTCAGGTGAAAGGAGTCTAGTGGACCACTTGGTAGCCAAAGGGGACATTGAGATCCATTTGATGGAGTCGGAATCAAAGAGAAGACGGGCTTAAAGAAATGGCACAAAAAATGGTTCCCATGATGAGAAACAACGTCGTTACTGCCATTTTACGTAACACCTCTACTTTATTAGAAAGTTACATGGGAGATTCTTGATTCGCTGGACATGAGTTTGGAGACTTCAGATTGATCGGATGATGCAGTAGCTACGAGGTTCTCTCCTTAGAAAGCCGCTCAAAGGCCTATAAATAGACCTCTATAAATAGAAATGAGGATAATGAGATGAGCTGTCAAGGAAGGGATGTTACTTTGTCGGTAGAGCGACTCACTTGACCTAGAGAGAAACCAACCAGAAAGGAGGAATCGATGTCATAAATGGCGACACATGCCTCTGTTTCTTTATTGTGGCTGCAGATTCCAGTGGTATTCTAGGGAATTTGTTTTGATCGATGATCGTCTAGAAACCCTTCCCCATGGTTGGCTAGTTCCTTTAGTTGCGTAGGTATGTAACCCCTAGGGGTTCTGGTCATGTAAAACTCGATGTTTAGCATAATATGATTATTTTATTGCATATGTTTCGGTGCATGATTTCCTCTATTTTGTTATTTGTCTATTCAAATGAATGCTTAGTCGTTCTTGCACTCCTTTGAGGTACAAGGATCCAAATCCAAGTCATTTAGCGTTAAGACTAGAAATGGCGGTCCTATTCGATCGATCCTTATTCGAATGAACGACATGATACCTCAAGGGAGAAATCCGTAAGGTCCTTGTTGCCCATTAGTTCGGGTAAATGCTTTGACACAAGGTGAGATCTAACGGAATAAGATATTGACAACTCATATGTTGCCAAATATTAAGGGATACGTGACTAGGAGAGTAAGGGGGAGCTTGCCTATGCAACACCTTCCTTCTCTGCTCTCTCATCCATCCAACTTAGATATAGGTTTACCTTTATAACGGGATGGGAGTTGGGATTAAGAATTTTGACATTGGGTACCACGGGTTACCCGCTAATACCCGTTTGGGTAGTATGGGTACCCGTAATAGCCATTATATTAATTCCCTATACAATACCATAGCTCAAAGCTTAGCCACATGAGCACACTACAGGTGAGTGTAACAGAGATGCGAGAAGAATTCTGATATTTCAGGGGAAGATACATGCATCACACCACATCCGACTACCATAATACTAGCAACACCAATGAGGAGAATGCGAATGAGTGAGAGGAGAGAAGTCTAGGA